TGGGTGGGCCGGACAGAACAGCAGTATTGAAAAAAGGACACCACGGGCACAATTAGGTTTTGGCCTTTAGTCTGAAAAAGTGTTGATTGAAAGTGTACAACAGAGAGCGGGTGCAAGCGGCTGGGGGCCATGGAGCCGCCAATAAAAAAGAATGTCCTTAAATAAAGTTCACAGAGTAAAAACCAGAACCGCCAGTCTTCCCTCCAACACAACAGAGCACAGGCACAGAACCGGTGATGAGCCCCAAGGAGCAAGGAGAAGGCCAGGGAAGACAGCAGAGGCTCCCAGGCTGCTGTGTGGAGGGAGAGCCCTCTTTGGAATGGACTGAGTAAAGCCACCCAGCTCCCCCTGCACACCTCATAACCACTGCTAAGGCTAAAGGAAAAAGACAAAACTCAGTCTCAGGTCCAGAGGGCTCAGAAAACAGTCTAGGTGGGCAGGGGTCTGGACAACCGTTAGTCCCGCTTGGCTTTCTTCTTATTGTCACTGTTGCCATTTTCTTCAGCCCCCTCAGAAGAGAGCACCTCCTCCAGTTTCCGCTTGCCACTCTCTGGCTGAAGTTCTGCTGTGTTTCGGGGCTTGAAGCAAATGATGATGCAGGTCATGTTGTCACACCCTGTACCGTCCCCAGAAGTATCTGGTGCCAGGCACTGATCCAGCAGCTACAAAAGGGACAGGGCAGCTCAGCTTCAGGGTTTGAATACCCTCCTAGGAACCTAAGCCCCCACAAGAGGGCTGACTGTGCTGAGACAGGGTGGCAGAAGGAGGGGAACAGGCAACAGATGTCCCAAAACAGGCCACTTGCTAGCGTAAGAGGCATGAGGATATGTTAGGAAAATGAAGGAAGGTGGAACTTTCTAGTCAGGGTTTGGCATCAGTCGGTAATTAAGGATACTTCCCAGCTCTGGTCTTAGCTCTGGTCCAAAGACAAAACCTTGGCTATGCAGACCAGACACCCTCTTCTCCTCCACCCTGGCACTCACCTCTTCCACAATGGATGACAATAACCGAAGCTCCCCATTTTCATCACGCTGACTGATCTTTGATTGAATAAAGTCTATAACTTCCTGGCTGCTCATCACATTCCTGGGGTCAAAAACAATACTCTTCTTTAGTCCCAACAAAGCAGAATAGAGGAGTGTAGAGAGAGGTGATAGCCCCCCAGGGCCAATGCAAATACCTACAAAGATATCCTTAGCTCTGCCTTAGGCTTGGGGGTTTTGACACCAAGGTGTCTGCCTAGACTCTAATTCTAGAGCAGCTTGAGAAAAGGTGCTGAATGCAGCCATTAGAGGGATGATAAAACCAAACCAGCTCAGAGACCTGTAAGAGAAGTAATGCTGCATAAAAGAGGGAATTTTAGGGCATTCCGCTGGTGCTCACCATATGCCATCACAGGCAATGACCATGAATTCGTGGTCGTCAGTGAGAGTCAGCACCTTGATGTCAGGAAGGGCTGAAATCATCTGTTCCTCAGGTGGCAAGTTCTTATTTCTCTTGTAGAAGTGGTCTCCTGAAGTAAAGGAACGGCTGGTTGATGAGTAGTTTAGGCACTCCCCACAGACCTGTGCTTAGGGCTGGTCAAGCCTTGCCATTCATTTCCCTTCTTGGCAAAGTTCCATAATCTAAGTGAACGAAAAACTGTGTTCCAGTTTTTCTAGTTGCAGCCCTATTTTCAGGTTGCTAAACCTTAGGTAGGCCACTCACCTTTTTCATCATCCAAAAATGACAGCTATCTTACCTATCTCACGGAGATGTTTTAAGGACAGAGGTAATAATAGATACCAAAGTACTTGGCAAGGTACATGGGCCTATTAAGATTAAAGTTTGCTACTAGGTAGTCTGAAAGAGAGAGTAAGACCCCAGAAGTCTTTCCCATGCTTTCCTGGCCCTTACCAATGGCTCTGGAGAGGTTGAGGCCCCCGTTGACTCGCCCATCCATGGTGACCTTGCCACCAGCATTCTTGATGCGTGCTAGCTCCACTTCATCCTCTGGTTTGTGGTCATAGGACATGTCTAAAGCTTTGCCAGCCTCAGACACCACACAACGAGAGTCTCCCGCATTGGCTACAATCAACTGCTTCCCTCGTATCAGGGCCACCACCGCTGTTGTGCCGCTGTCAGAGCCAGGCTTAAGAGGAAGAAAGGAAGCATCATGGGAGATTCTGGACACAAGCTCCTCATTGGTGCTCCCCAACCATTCACTTATGCTTTCTTCTCTCACTGGGACCACCAAGAGAGCTTTAACAAACAGGAGAGGCATGAACTTATAATCTTTCCAAAGACCAGAGCATGCTCTTTCTTTTCTGAGCTAATTTTACCCTGAAGACCTAGTTCCACTTGTAGCATAAATCGCTGCATCACCAGGACTTCAGTACTAAGGCAGCAAGGAGATCCCCTGTCACCAAATAACAATCAGGGGAATTACATTTGCCTCTTGGCTTTTCCAGACTCATTGCTCCCCTTCCCTACACACCTCCTCTTTGCCTTCCATGCCAGGCACCATCATCTCCTCTTCTTCCTCGTCTTCTTCAGCCTCCTCAGTGTCATCCTCATCTTCCTCATTCTCTGCTTCTTCACTGCTGTAGCCATCCTCTTCCTCACTGCATTCCTGCCAGAGGGATGATCCCAGGCTGCTGAGACTGGGATGACCCCCTGCCCCCCTCCCCCCAACTTGTACTCAGAACCAAGAGCCCGGCCTGAACACGGATTCTGAGAACAATGAAAGATGCAACTATATGATCATGATAGAAAAATCCAGGGGAGGGGAGAGGGCCAGATGGGTATAACTGATATCCTAAACTGGGTTCGGAAGTCACGAATAGTAAGTCCTGCAAAAGGCCAGGGCTCTCAGCCAAAAGCGCCTTTCAGGCAACATGGCCAGAAAATAAGTGGCTCAGAGAAGGAAATATCCAAATATCTAAAGTAACAATCCCTACCTTCCTGTTCTCTCTTGGAGACAGACTCTGGGGCGCCTGGGGTGGCTCAGTCGGTTAAGCATCCGACTTCAGCTCAGGTCATGATCTCACGGTTCGTGAGTTTGAGCCCTGCACTGAGCTCTATGCTGACAGCTCAGAGCCTGGAGCCTGCTTCAGATTCTGTGTCTCCCTCTCTCTCCACCCTTCCTCTGCTCGCTCGCTCTCTCTCTCTCTCTCTCTCTCTCTCTCTCTCTCTCAAAAATAAACATTAAAAAAAAATAATAATATAATAAAAGACAGACTCTGAAAAGCTAGAACTAGATCTGTATGTTATAGTATCGACAAAGGAAGAGGTTAGAGGGCTAATGGTTCCTATGTTGGTGGAGATAATGAATTCAAGAAAAACCTGGAATATAGGCCTTGGGGGTTGCTGTAAAAATAGGAGAAGATGGTAGGCACCAAGCTTAGTAGAGCATGCAACTCTTGATCTTGGGGTTGTGAGTTTAAGCCCCACGGTGGGTGTAGCAATTACTTAAAAAAAAAGAGAGAGAGAGAGAGAAGGAAAGGAGTTGAAAGCTATGTATGGTAACCAAACAGGCCTTTTCTGCAAATTCAGTATCTGTCTGCTCCCACTGGCCCTTACCTCACTGTCTTCCTCTTCCTCCTCTGCCTCATCTGACTCATCCTCACTGTCCTCAAAGAACTTGGACTTAGCAATTCGAGGCAGCTTGTCAGAGGCTGAAGAGCAGGAAGGCCCAGCCTCACCAGTGGGAGTGCCAGGTTCGCCACCTTGGCCTGCCTCAGTCCCACGTTCTGAGTTGGAGGAAAGGCCTGTGTGGGCCTTGGCTGTGGGGCCATTTTCCTCTGAAG